CTGCTGGGAAGTGGCCTGCAACCCAGGCATGTGCCCTGACTGGGAATCGAATTGCGATTGTGTGGTTCGCAGGCCCGCGCTCAATCCACTGAGCTACACCAGCCAGGTATTCCCAGGTATTTTTGATAGTGCATTATTGGCATATAAAATGTAACTTATTTCTAGATTTTTTTGGTCTCCTGCTACTTAACTGAATTCATTGATGTGTTCTAGTAGTTTTGGTAGAATCTTTGGGGTTATCTATGTACAATATCACATCATCTGCAAATAATAACAGTTTTATATCTTTCTTTCTAATTTGGATGCCTTTTATTTCTTCTTCCTGTCTGATTATTGTGGCTAGTACTTCTAGCACTATGTTGAATAATAGTGTAAGAAGTGGACATTCCTGTTTGTTCCTAATCTTAAGGGTAATACTTGCAGTTTTTGCCTCTTGTGTATGATGTTGGCTGTGAGACTGTCATGGAAGGCCATTATTATGTTGAGGTATGTTGCCTCTATTCCAATTTTGCTGAGAGTTTTTATCATAAATGCGTGCTTGATTGTATCAAATGCTTTTTTTCTGAAAATATTACTATGATCATTAGTTACAATATGTCTATTCAGATTCTCTGACTCTTCTTGATTCAGTTTTGGAAGATTGTATGTTTCTAAGAATTTATCTATTTCATCCAGATTATCCAATTTGTTGGCGTATGGTTTTTCATAGTATTTCCTTAAAATCCTTTTTATTTTTTAGGTGTCAGCAACTATATCTCTTTCATTTCTAGTATTATTTATTTGGATCTTCCTTCTTTTTTTCTTGGTAAGCATGGTTAGGAACATCATAATTTTGAAACAATTTGGGAGATGTGGCCCAGGTGAGGTGGCCTCCAGCTGGGGAAAGTCTTCCAAGGAAATTGAATGTGTGCTTCCACCAAGAGAGTGAATGTGTGACTTGTATACAGAATAATGACCCCCATCCCTGACTGATCAATTGTTATGCAAGTTAGGACTCCAAATCATTACAGTTTGATTGGTCCAAAATAACACTCTTCAGATTGGTCAAAATGGAGCAGCTCTGATTGGTCAGTACAGATACAAATGACAATATAGCTGCATACCTAAAATTAGACAAGAAAGTCTCATATCTATTGATTGAATTTCTATTTTAGGAACTCTCTTACTGTAGTGGCCTGCCCAGGAGGGGAGCTAGCCAGTGGGTCAACAGAATCAGGGAGAGCAAGTAACTAAGTAACTGAGGAGTAAGAACAAAGAAATTCGTATTAACCCCTATTAGCAGTTCCGCTTTCTTGCTTCTGTAAACTGCTTCCTGCTTTCGAGCCAGAGGTAAGGGTCCAAGTGACAGACTGCCCCCTTCACCCTATATAAGCCATTACTCCCCACTGATTGGGGCCCAGAATTTGGAGACTGACTCCTCTGGATCCAAGCACATGAAAATAAACTTCCACTCTGTACACCTGAAAGGGAGTGAGTTGTTTTCTGTAACATTTCAAGGGTTGACTCACAATGCAGGAGAACAGTGTACAGGCTAGCAGCACAGTCTGTGGCTTTTCTCTGATAGGCAGTGTGCATGTGAGTTCTCTGCCACAATGGATGCTTGATTTCAGTTTTGAATTTAGACCCAGTCAGCCACAAAAAGTCTTTTTTGTCAAGTATTTTCTTTCTTGGAGTCAAAACAGGGAAGCAGAGTTCATAACTACAGAACTGAAAATCAATGACATTTTTTAGAATAAATATCATTATATTTATGATATTTATCTGCTTTCTGTAGAAATTTAATTTTTTCCTTTTATTCAAGTAATTACTCCCCTTCCCTTTGTCATAAATATTCTTATCTTTGAAACCAGGAAAATGACCAACAGTTCCAGCTATTGACCACTCTGAAAGCCCAACTTTTGAGACAGGTACTGGTTGAGAAGGAAAGGGGTTTATTCAGGAGTCAGTGACCTGAGAAGATGGCAATCTCATGCCTTCAAAAGCATCCATGGCTTAGTATCTCGGACATCCTGGCTAGGTTATATAGGGGAATTGTGGGAAGAGTGGGGCTAAGGAAATTCTGGTAACATGTAGTTTCTCAGTTCTGTCCTTGGGTTGTCTCATTGTTATCTCCTGCATGTGTCATTATGTAGTTGCATTGCTCTATCTTCAGTTTTACTCCTGAAATTCAGGTACAGATGTGCAGGCAGCATTTCTGTTGGTTCTAGTAGGAATTGCTGATGTTTGTCCAATTCTTGTGGTCTGGGTTGTTCCTTGGTCAGGCAGAAACAGCAACTGCTAATATCTACAAATTACTCATAAGAAAGCTTTTGGTACATGACTTTTCTATAAGTCTGTTAGAACAACCTATTCTATAATTTGTTACCCTTTCACCTCCTAATAAAAGCACTATATGAGTTTCTGCCTAAAACAGTGTTTCTGGATTAACTATTCTTTTGGATCTCAAATCAAGACTTGTTGCCTCTCACCTTGATTTTTTTTCAGTTAACATAACAAATAAAAATATTATTAAACTTACTGTTTCCTGTATCTTTTTACATTATTTAACATGTCCACTAGAAAACAGAAAGTTACATATGAGTTCCGTTACATCCCTATAGGGCATCCACTCTACAGTGTTAAGTCCAAGGCTCACTCACCCACTTGTCCCATGTCACATACAGACCCTGGCCAGGGAGCAGCCCAAAAAGATTTGTTGAATAAATAAATGAGTTGTGAAAAAGAGAACTCAAACTTTTTACCAAACAGAGCTTAATGAATTCACTTATGCTTGGCAAAGAAATTAATTCCCCAACACATGATGCAGATGAAATGTTCCCAAGTCTTTGAAATGGTACTGTTACAGAACAGAGGCCCAAGGTTGGGGGTAATATTTTGCCCCTCCAGGGATGCCAAAAACTTACAGAACAGACACACAGGGACCTGGACTCCAGAGGATAGTATACTAATATTGTCTGGACCACCTACTGGTCTCCTCTGTCTGCCACCAGAGGAAAGACATCTCTCAATGTCAGAGATCTGTGAAAAGGAAAGGAAAGGTTTATTTAAAGCTATAAAGACTTAAAGTAGTGACCCAATGTCCCCATTAAAATATAAAAGTTCTTTAGGATAACCACAGATGCCCACAGCACTTCCTTCTCCCCCTGCCCTAACTTGGGGTACTGTTACTCAGGAAAAGAAGCACATGTCTGTGTTTCCAGGCCACTGGCACCATCAGCTGTGTTGCCGCCCAGGCAGGATCTCTAATTACTCCAAAGTAATGTGGCACCTTCTCATGGTCTACTGGCAAGAGTTCTTTGTTCCCTTCTTCCAGGCAAAGTTTCTCCTGCTTCCCAGACCACGCGGCCAAAGGGAGCACCCCAAACCCAAGTGATCCTCTTCTACCAAAGCTGCAGGGCTCTGCACTCTGGCCAAAACTGCATGGTTTCCTCTCCTTCACATGACTGCAGGGGTCCCCACTCTACCAGAAGCGTGGCTCTGTCTCACAAGGCTGCAAGGATACCCACTGTGGCAAAGCCACATGGCTCTCTCCACTGCCACAGCTGTGTGGTACACTCTCCTTAAATGGCTGCCATGTCTGAGTTTTAAATCCCTGTGCCATTCCTCCTTTGCAGCCCCATTTCCAACTCCTCCTACAATCAGCTACACTTGCCAGCATTCTTGTATTATTCCAAGTTCACTGGGGTTCCATCCTGAGTTTGGGCAGGTGTGGCTCCATGTTGTGGAACCAATCATTTCCAAGCTCTCACGCAGGTGCTGTATCTCAGGGGACCTGCCTCCAGTTACATCTTGGATGGAAGTCACTTCCATCCCCCTGGCTCAGAGCAGGGCCACAGCTATTTAACATATTTATATAACCAGTTAAAGGTTATAGATATGTTAAACGACCATACCAGAGGTTAGCTGCAAAACCTTTGTTGTACAAAACAGCTCTCAATGGCCTTCCTCCATTTGTCCCTTTCCCAACTCACACCTGTGGAGGGAAAGGGGTGAGGACATCTTAATATTTCCTGGACACCTTGAGTCCTTGAGTTCTGGACTCCATTCCAAATCCCTTTTGGGGGGCTCCTGTCTTGGCTGCACCCTGTTACCATACCATTGCTCTGCAAATGCTAGAATTCGACTAATTGCTCAGAGATGAAGACAGCTATTTTTCCCCTTTTAAAAAAATTTATTTATTTATTTTTAGAGAGGGAGAGGAAGGGAGGGAGAAAGGGAGAGAAACATCAGTGTGTGGTTGCCTCCCACCTGCCCCCCACTGGGGGACTTGCCCTGCATCTCAGGCATGTGCCCTGACTGTGACCCTTTGGTTCGCAGCCCATGCTCAATCCACTGAGCTTCACCAGCCAGGGTATTTCTCCCTATTTTAAAAGAAGGAATCAGAATTCAGGGCTTACAAGCTGTTCGGACCCAGAAAAGGGTGACACCTTCTGTTAAAACCAGGATGAACTGAGCTTGAGAGCACACTAGAGAAGGTCTGGAAGTGGTGGGGAGGAGGTGGAATGTGTTGGGGGAGAAGCCTAGACAGACTCTGGTTGAGGTAGGCTAGGATTTGGTGGAGGGGCAGAGCTCAGATGAGAGGAGAAACTGGGTAAGGTGGTAACAGACTGCTGGGAAAGGAGGCTGGTAGGGGGAGAAGGTACAGAAAATAAGTAGCATAGACAGTATATAGAAAATAGGGGGAGGGCAAGAATAGTAGGGGAAATACAGAATCTAAAGAACTTGAGAAACGTGTTCTTGACTAAAGGGGGGAATGGTGGGGGAGGGGTGTGCAGGGTGGAGGGGAATGGAGGGGGGAATAGAACAAATGTAAAGGCATAATCAATAAAAAGAAAGAAAAAAGAAAACTATACTTGAAAAATAACTAAATACAATTAAAAAAGAAAAAGAAAAGAAAAGACCTCAGGACTGTAAAGGACAGGACCTGGGGGAGGGGCTGGTCTGCGGAAGTGGGTGGGGGTAATGTGACCAAACGGAAACTGAAAGGAGGAGCTGAGGAAGGGGTGGGGAGTGCTGAGGCTAGGCCGACGGGAGGGGATAAAAGCCTCTATCTGTGGCTCTCGGATCCATCGATCTTGTCCCCTGTCTAGCTTTCATCCACTCTAGCCCCAGTCTCTATCGAGTGAACTATGGCTGGGTTCCTGCGCTCCCCGCTGCTCCTGCTGGCCGCCTTGGTCCTGGCTCTAACAGTGAGTTCTGCAGCCGGGGCGAGCCCCAGCAGGCCTGTGGCAACTGGAGGACTGGCAGAGGCAGACATCAATGAGGAGGGCGTGCAGCAGGCGCTCAACTTCGCCCTGAACGAGTACAACAAAGCAAGCAACGACGCCTTCCACAGCCGCGCCTTGCGGGTGGTGCGTGCTCGCAAGCAGGTACACCCCAGGGGCCAGGGGCCGGGGGCTGGCAGGACGACCGGGACAGGGAAGCCTTCGCCTGCCGAGGGCATGGCCCTCAGGACCTGATCAGCCTACAGTTCCTACTGCCCAGCTTGCAGGAGGAACAGCCCTTCTGTGCTTCTCAGTCAGGCAATTTCCCTAATGTTTAATGTGGCCCACAGACGCCACAAACCTTCGTGGGTTTATTCACCAGGGCTTCATTTATGTTTCTAAGCATCAGCCCAGCTAGACAGACGTAGCTTGGGGGTCAGGGCCATTGTCCAGCGGCTTTGCTCTCTACCCCAGGCTCATGGGACTGGGGGCTCAGCGTGAGCTGGCAACTAAATGACTACAGGCAAAGGAAAACCAGACTGCACAGCTGGCTGCCCTCCTGGCTCTGCCACTGAATGATTTTTTAAGCACTTTTATTCCTTTTAACTTTTCATGTTGAGATGAATTCAGACTTACAGAGCCTTTACAAAAATAGCACATAGAACCCCTGTAGATTCTTCATCCAGATTACCCAAATGTTAAAATGCTGTCCTATGCTTTATCCACCTCCATCCCTCCCTACATGTGTGTGGGGGTACATACATGCATTTATTTCTCTGAACCATTTAAGAGTATATATTTCCTAAAAACAATGGCATTTTTCTACATAATCTCAGTACAATTTTGAAAATCATGAATCAGCTGGAACAATTTTCTAATACATAGAACTTATTCAAGATGTCTGTGATTATTTGACCAATGTCCTTTATAGCCAGGGACAGTCCAGGGTCATGCACTGCAGCCACTGTCCTGCAGCCTCCTTTGCCCTGTCTTATTGTTTCATCATCTTGGCATTTTGTGAAGAGTCCAGCCAGCATATGCAGACTGGCACTTGGTTTGGATTGGCCCGAGGTTTCCTCAAGATTTGGGTCATGCAGAAGAGGCATGTTCTCCTAGTCTCCTCTCAGTAGGTGCCACTAAACCAATCTTGTCCTCCATGTGAAGTGGTATTTGGGGCCATAGGCACTCCAAACATACATTTTGAGGAGGACTCTCACTGCTCACTTGGTCACTCTTCAGGTACCAGCAAACAGAGGAGTTCAGGATATGGCCTGTGGTATATCCAGTTGGATGCTACAGCAGAGGGTCTTGCGTAAAAACCCAAACCTGCCAAGAGATCCTGGAGGAAAGGCCCCTGGAGCATTGTTTCTTGCCATAGATCCCACCCATGGATTAAGGTCTGGATTTTGAAGTCTCATTCTCAACCCTGAAATGGATGTCCCACCACCAACAGCTGAAGATAGCTGAGTATATAGTAGCCTATAGAGAATCACACACATGGATTTGCTTCTCCCAGCCTGTCCTGAGATTCTGGCCAGATTGGGAGGACAGTCATTATACTCCAGAAGGAGAAAGGAGGAAGAATCAGGGAGGGCTACTGGATTTTGAGCTTGTCCTTGAAGCAAGGCTGAAATTTAGACTATCTGGTCTGCATCCCACTGATGAGCAGAATGTAGCCACACAGCAACAAAATGTGGTGTTATGTGCCAGTATTTGGGATGTCCAACCTGCAGCCCAAGAGCTGCATGCATCCCAGGATGACTATGAATGCAGCCCACCATAAAATTGTAAATGTATTTAAAACTTTATGAGATGTTTTGGTGATTACATGTCACACTGCATTTAATGTGTGGCCCAAGACAATTCTTCTTCTTCCAAGGTAGCCAATGACACCAAAAGGTTGGACAACCCTGGTAGGGCTTGTTTTCACCTCCTCTTCAAACATCAGATCAAACTCATTTCTCCTGCAGCAGTTGTCTGGCACTGTTCCCTTTGGATAAGATGTGCACTCCCTGCTTACCAGGTCCCCACCGGCCTGCTCCTCTCAACCAATTTGGTGTCATAGCTCATCGGCCCATGTGGAAAACTGACACCAGAGTGATCATAATGGACTTGCTTGAGGTACATTGGATAATCTAATGCCTGGTTCAGGCCCTTCATTTTTAGGTTTTCCGAGTTCTCACAAAGTGCGTCTGTAGCATGCCTGTATGAGGACAGGCTTCACTTCTGTAATCTCAAGTGTAAAGGACATGAATGTGTATAACACATTTTAGAAGTGTTCCCATCACAAATAACTCTTAAAAGTCAAGCATTCAAAGGACATCTTTTATTGGCCTCATGTATCTGAGTGTGTGTGTGAAAAATGTCTAATTTCCTACTGTTCAGTGAGGGCATGAGTAAACCAAGTTACAACTTTTGAGGAGCTAAATAGTACTAACTGGATTATAGCTTCAAGGTCATTGTCATGGGAGTCTTCCTGAGGCAGAGTCAGCCTTGGCTCCAGCAGAGCTGTCACTTTGTTCTATTCTCTGCCCTGGCTCCTAGTGCTGACATGGTTGATTTACTGACACCCTGGCTTTCTACCCATAGCTCCATTTTTAGCTCCTGGCAGAATTTTGGTGTCTGGCTTCCACCTTCTGTTTTCCTGCCTCTCTTCCTACCAGGTTGTGTAACATACCTTTTCAGAGCTGCTCTGTAAGTTACAAGGGGGACCTGAGGCACATCAGCTTGGGCAGCCATCAGGAGGTGGCTGGGTGCCTTCTGGGTGCTGGCTCTGGCAACCCATGGATGTTGGCCCTGTATGTGATAACAGGAAGGTAACAGTGCCTGTGTGACCTGGGCAGGTATTGAAAGCCTATCCTTCTCTTCACATGCACAGGTCGTGGCTGGGCTGAACTATTTCTTGGATGTAGAAATCGGTCGAACCACATGTACCAAGTCCCAGCCCAACTTGGCCAGCTGTCCCTTCCATACCCAGCCACACCTGAAGAAGGTATGTGCCTCTGATGTTGGCCAGAGTTCAGATATGCAGGGCAGAGCGGTAGGTTTGTGCCTGTGGGGGTATGTCATGGGTAAGTGCTGTGGTGTAGGTGGAATGTGCATGTGTTGGGGTGTGTATGGGGGAAAGGGTGCCGGTGTGTGTACCGGTTTCCAAGATTTCTGATTTGAATTTATAAGGATATTTAAGCTGGGACATTTGGGAACCATGTGTCTGCTGAATGGAGGAGCAGCTGTTGGGACACATGGGGTCCTATAACCTCAGTATCAGCCACTGGAACACATTAATGAGTATTAGAGGCCTGTAAGGGGAGAAATCCTTTCATGCTGCCCTGCTCACTGAGCACCAGACTATCCCCTAGGTGGGACAGTTCTTTTGATATCTCAGCTTCTGGGGAGACCTCCACCCTCTTGTCACCTTCCCAATCACACTTCTTCTTTCAGGAAGGTTTCCTTGACCTGGGTTCTGCCTTCTGGACCTGTCTTAGTACTGGCCCACTGGAGGTGGAGGGAACTGTTACTCTCTGGGGTTGTGTTGCCTTGCCTGGGCTTCTCCTTAAAGGGCTGTGCAGGGGGTATAGCATTGTGGATTTCTGTGGGAAGGAGGGACAGGAAGCCATCTCCTGGACTTGGAGTGATAGGATGGGTTACCAAGAGGCCACTGCAGAGTCCTGCACAGTGGTCTGGGGCGGAACAGGATAGGGGTCTAAGAGTTCCACCAAACAACCACAGTCCCTCACTTGCACTTCTGAGATCTGGTGCTGGCCATTTCTTTTTTTACTGTAACCCTAACTGACCATCATTCTCATTTCTCTTTTGTAGAAAGCACTCTGCTCTTTCCAGATATACACTGTTCCTTGGTTGGGCAAGACCTCCATGGTGAAGTCCAGCTGCCAGGACACATAGAGGATGTGACAGGCTGGGCCACACTGACTGCCTCTCACTTGCACTCCTCCACCCTGGTGGAGTCCCCTCAGTGTGCAAATAGAGGCTTCTTGATCATTGTTTGAATAGCTAAATGGCTCTAACTTGTTTCTCTTAATTGCTTTCTAGATGACCTGTCCCTGGTGCACATGTCCTGCCCCTATTTTATGAAATAAAAAATAACATCACCTGCTCCTTGAATTGTTCACTGTCTGGGAATGTGCCTGAAGGGTTTAGCAGTTACTTTAAGAAGAGTTCTGGAGGGCAGAGGAGGGGACAAAAGCTGACACACATAGCTACAGTGGCATGTTAGGAGAATATACTGCCCCTTTTCATATGACTGAGTCATGGAGGGGGTCTGGGAAGCCAGGCCTTTGGCTCCAGTGGTTACTGATAACCAGTAAAAAAAGAGGAAGGAGACCTATGCTGCTGGTTCTGGAGACTTGGCTGCTATATTTGAAAAGAAGTCAGACTGTGAGCAGGGTCTAGACAGGAAGGAGAGTTCAGATGGGGCCTATAGCCTAGGGCCTTTCTTAGCAAGGTTCTGCAGAGCCATAGTTTTCAGCTGAGCTGATCAGACCTCTGGAATTGATGTAACTGTTCAGATTTTCTAGAGACTGAAGAAATAATGCTTTATACCTACTTCCCTACCTAAGAGCCTATAGGCACCAATAAGGAGTTGAAGAGTGAAAGTATATGTGTATTTAAAGCTGATTGGGGAAATGCCAGTCAGATTCAAATCAATCAAAGTCAGATGCAGGCTTGGAAAAGAATGTGAAAGCAGTACCTTCTCTGATATATTCTGGCAAGCTATTGTCTATAAGGGTTTTAGTAATTTACACCTACCAGACCATTTTTGGGTCCTCAAGCATTTGTGCCTTTTCTGGTCTCAGTTGGCTGTGGAGCCTGCTTACCCTCTGACTATTTAAGGAATGAGCTTTGTCATTAGAGAAGTGAAACACCCCCAATAAGCCTTGAGCAGGAGAGATTTGAGCCTGAGCCCTGTTGGGGAAGGGGAGGTGTGTCTGGTTTAGGGATGACATGTTTATGTTGGGGAGAGGGGCATGGCAAATCAGACTTTAGAGAGAAGTGGTGGCCTGGGCCAAAGGCCTCCTATAGGGTCTTTGCAGACTTGGAGAAAAATCTTGATTTTACAAAAGCAAGCAGCATCCAGGCACTGCAATGACATGCTGATTTCATGTAAAGCCATGATTTTGGGACACTTCCAATTTAATTATCTCTTCTTCCTGGAAGTTGCAGGTAAAAGAATGAGGTACAGTGAGGGGAGGGGGGTCCTGAGAAGGGTCTGGCCAAGCACACAAGTTCTGCTGACCTGTGCCTCCCATACTTTAGCCCCCTGCCTCTTCTCCCTTCCCTTTCCACTACCCAGGCCTCCTATTTTACAGCCAACATCACAGGGTTCCAGTTGGTACCACCCAAGTTTCCCCACCAGGTAGGGGGCTAGCCTGTGGATGCCTCAACTCTGAGGCTCTGGGTGAGGTAATGCAACCCAGAGTACTCTGACCCACTAACCTGGACATCACCAAGCCCAGCATGTCTTATGGGGAAGCACAGCCCTGCAACTTTTACTGCATGGTTTTACTTTGATGTTTATTTTAAATGTAAATATTAGTGTATAATTTATATAAAATATTCACATTCATAGACTTAGCACAATGACTGGCTCTGAATAAACAGTAAATAAGTTTTAGATATTTTTTCATTGATCTTATGATATATTGTAGAGGTTTAAAATATGGTCCCATATTTTCTTTGCATTGAGAGGTAGGGTCTGTGAACTGCCTCTGGACTCTGGTTGTGCTTGTGACTGCTTCAACCAAAAACTATGGAGGAAGTGACCCTGTGACTTTCAAGATGAGGTCAAGGAAGGACTCAGGGCTTCTGCCAAACATTCATGCATACCTGCCCCAGGTAAAGCCAGAATCCATATCAGTAGCCCTAATTCTCAAGACCACCATGCTTCAGAGGCCCCTGCTGGTACTTGTTTAACAGCTCCAGCTGAGCTGCCAAAGCTGGCATCAGCTGCCAGCCAGTTGAATGGGCAACCATGGATGTCCAGCCCAACTGAGTTCTCAGGTAACTATAGCTCCAATGTCATCACACAGCAGTCCCATGAGAGCCCCAACCCAAGAAGTGCCCAGCTTCTCTCTATGAATTTATGGTCCACAAAACCATGAGCAAGAGAAAATGGTTGTACCACACCTCCAAGTGTTAAGGTGACTTGTGATATAGTCATGGTGTCTGAAACACTGTGTGTGTGTGGCTATGTGTGTGCCTTCATACAGGTAAAGAGGTTGAAGCCAGGTGGCCTGGATAACAACTTCACTAACTGTGTGACCTGGGCAAGCTCCCTACTCTCCATGAACCCTATTTACCATCAGTAAGGGAAACAGTACAAGCCCCTTTCTCTTCCACTTGTTAACATCTGTAAAGCACCTAGAACAGCGCAGTTTATTATATAAATAAATATTATTCCGGTCAGAATGCTAACACATTTTTATATGGTGTTCCATGAGTACTTCATTTTTTTCAAATGATGTTATTAACCACAGTGAGTTCCCATGGTGTCCTAGGTCGGTTTATGCATTTCAGGCCCGAATATAGCTGGATCAGTTTATGCATTTCAGGCCTGAATATAGCTGGGTTTATTTTTCTGTGCCAACTACTCCATTTTAAATATATTGTGTTAATATCCATTAGGTAAAGGACCGTTCTCTTTATTCTTTGATAAATTTTATTTCTAAATATATTGTATTTATTCTTCAAGATGAAAAAGAATTTTTAAGTTCAAAAAGAATTACTGTGTTTCAAACTAGGACAATTTTGAATGTATATTCCATTTAGCAAAAAAAAGATTGATATTTAATATCCAAGCTTTTCATTTCAAAATACCTCCTGACGTGCTTGTGCTCTTATTATTCAGTTATATAATGTAACTTTTTATGCATCTTTCATATTTCCTGTGAAATTTATGGCTGGATATTTTATATTTCAGGAATATTTCCCACTCTATGTCTCACCACTCATTGCTGATGGAGAAAAATTATTGACCTTATCTGTTTTTTTATCAGCCTTGATGTCTCATGATTAATAGGCCCTTAGAGGATTGGTGTTTTGTGGCTCCTTACTGCTATGAGTTGCAGAAAGTCAGGAGTGGCTTTGGACAAGGCCATAAATTTCATCAAAAGAAGCAGAGAGGGGCAAACGTCAACCCTGTCCAAAGCCTACATGGCCAAGGTAGAGAGCTGGTCATGGGAAGACAACTGTCTAGTCACCTGTTTCTGTTCATTATACTCTACCGTGTGAACAAAAACACATAAAACTGAGAAGCAGTTTTATGCATCAAATGGTAGCCCAAACATGGATCAGATTCTCTTCAAAGCAGCTATTCTGCTATCTTACCTTTGGCATTGGCTTTACTGAGAGGTTTGGGGGTAGTGTCTCCTCAGTATCATCTGAGGTTTATGCAGCCCAGAGTCAGATACACTTAAGGGTCGCTCAGATGTCAGCTGGGTCCCCAGCTCACTGAGACCAGATAAGATGTATAAATAATCTCAAGCATGGATGCCTGTGAAACCACCAGGAAAATTTTTAAAAAGAGTGATGTCTGTCTGCACTCTAAGAAATTCTGACTCAGTTGGTCTGGGCTGGGGCCTATGCACTGGAATTTTTAAATTCTACCCAACTAATTCTGAAAGGAACTGCATAACTATAACTGAATTAGATTTCCTCGAAAGGTCCAATTACTTCTCAAACATCTGCAATTTTCAGTAGGTGCAGGGTTCAGTCTCAAAAGTCATATCAGCATCTAGACATGCTTTTCATGCCAGGGATCTCTGCAGATATATAACACAGCCCTCTCCTTGAGTCCCAGTAAATAAAACAAAACCAAATAAAAATCACATGAAAACATTCTTCAACCAAAGCACTGGTTAAGTCATTGAACTTTTGTGGAAATTTCAGATAGTTCTGCAGGTTTCTGTGGAGCAGTAGTCTTGATATCTTCAACCCCAGCACTTTGCATCCCTGTTTTTGAAATACCCTTGACCTCATTTCTAGAGGTAGTTGCCAGTTGATCTTTACCCCACTGAATCACTGACCTCATTTCTTTGTTCTTCTCTCCTTGGTATTTCCCATTTGTCCACACTGTCCCTTCCCTATGAATCCCTCAGCTGGTCCCAATCCTCTCTGTGAGGCAGAGCACCTCACCTCTTTCTAAACTTTCCCACACCCATCAAGGTTCTCAGAAAATAAAGTGTTTCTTAGTAAACAGGATCTACCCTTTTTGTGAAGTACTTTGATCGTGAATGACAACATGTATTTTTCATTTACCCAAATCCAGGCTCCTGAGGAACAGGCTAAGGAAAATACCTGCCTTTCCTGAATGGCTACTAGCTGATAAATGGTGCAGAGGAATGGTTACCCCTTGGGCCCTATGTGTTTCTCACTGATCATACTGTCCATGTTGAAATAACACCACCAAATAATCTGAGTTGGGTGTTGACTTACAAACCAGAGAGTGCCTTGCATTCTTATGATAAAACAGCAAGATAATAATTCATGTGGTAATGCCCTCTCCTTCCCTCTCATTCCAGCAAGGAAGCTGACTTCACCTTTTGAACCATGGTTTGGAGAATGTGAGCTTGGCTAAGTCAGTCTAGACAGCCCCCCCCAAGTCTTAGTAATTGGCTTAAAGATGACACATTACCAAAGCCTGGGACATCCTGAGGCTTAATGGTGGGATTTTGTTTGAACTATTTGAAAAGCAGGCTCTCTCTTTCTTCCTGGGTATGAAGATGAGAAGACAGGAGATCCAAAGCAATTGTTTGAGAATGAAGGCAAATTACAGGGGGCAAAATAACCAAGTCAAGAGACTACAGAGCACTTCACTTATATCACTTGAGTTCCTGCACTAAGCAGTGCTTGTTGTCAGCCTGTCCTCTGGACCTCTTAATTACGTGAAACAGGCCTGTTGGGTTGTTTTTCTGGCACTTGTGCTCTTATGAGTATTAACTAATATAGAGAGACAGAAACTGAATGTACCATTCATTTTCTAGAGCTGGTTGTTCCATGACATTTCTTGACTGTTTTAAAAGTAACACCCCAAGAAGTCACCTTGCAGAAATTAGAGGTTCTGCCTGCCCTCTAGACCTCAGAGGTATCAGACTATTA